TAATCCTGTTATATCATTCATATTCCTTATTTGGTAAGTTGTACTGCTATCAGTTCCATTACACTGTACAGTAACTGTACATGTTTCAGGAGCTTCACCAGTACACTCCAGTATAATCTATGAATGAGTAATAATAATAATGATGATGGTACTAATAGCATACTGGAAGATTGAATCTGACAATAACTATATCTTGTATATAGTAGAGTAAGTCAAGTGATGTATTTGCTATAGTTGATCTAGGAACTATGTAACAGTATACAATATTGATATACTATTCACATGTACATGTACCTCTTTGATATGAGAATGTATCATTATTAGATATTCCTTCTCCTAATTCATTAACTCCAGTTATAACATATGTATAACGATGAATAAATAAATTATTATCCACAAACCGATAACTGGTATTATATACTGATACAGTATCCACTAGGCTACCAGTAACAGCATCATATATTCTTAGTATGTAATACAGTATAGATACTCTATCATCAACTGTAGGAGCAGTCCATGTTATATCAATAGTAGAACAGTTGTCAATTGAAGAGTCAATGTTAGTAACTGGTCCAAGAAAACCTAATGTATAGGTTGATCAATCAATAATGGGTTTCTAAGTTTCTTTAGTTATAAGTCAAACTCATTTTGTTTTTGACTCTACTTCATGTCTTTTTTGGAGCTTGAAGAATAGACAAAATGAAGTTTGACCAAACAAAAGAAACCAGCCATATGATACAAAATGTTTGTACTTACTAAACCCAAAAGATGACATATCATTAAATGTTCCTCCATTATTACTCAGTGATACATTAACAGTAAATGTATTTAAGTTAGTTACTGAAGTTGCAATCATCATTTGATCATTAACTTGTACTGCTGTACTGCTTATTATTGCGTTATCAGTATTCAGTATACTAACTGTTATACTATTAGGATACTCTCCTTTACATAGTTCACTGACCTAGTGTGTGAGAATAATGGTGAATTGAAGTTATGCAAACAATAGACTATCATAAGCTTGTAGTGAATATACTTACATCAATACTGATATTCAATGATATTAGTTGTCCATCAATTACTGGTACCACTGATACAGGAGGAGTAATGAGAGGAACTGAAAGATACACTGTGAGCATATACATGAAGCCATAGTAATGCTAACCTCTTTCATAATAAAAACTGATATTATTAGATGAACCTATTCCAGCACCATTAATAGGAGAAACTGATACATTATTTAATATACAAGGATCAGGATTAGTAGCTGATAATATAATACTCTTGTTAGTAGTAGTAATGTTCACTAATCCATTGACTATATAGTATCCAGTGATAGGTACATTATCCAGTGTATAAGGAGCTGTCCATGTTAATAATACACTGGATCCATTATTAAAGGTATAATCCAGATCAACAACACTAGCCAATAGACCTAAAGAAGTGACTAATGATAATAAATACACACACACACTAACCTTGTATCATTAATATTGCTGTATCACTGAACACTGCCTGAAGAGGTTCATCAGTACTAGCTCTACACCTCACTTCAGTATTATTATTATGATCATAAGCTATTGCTTGTAGCTCTGCTCTTCTAGTACCACCACTACTACTTGATGTTACACTAAATTCCTTATCTGTAACAGCTCCATCAGTAGCTGGTGTATTATTGACTCTGAAGGAAAGGTCATCAGCAGTAGCTTCACAAGAGAAGACAACAGTAGAGTTGAGTGATACTGGCTGTACTGTTATATCTATAATGACAATAAAATCAAATATTAATAATCATAATAATAATAGATATATACTTACTAGCACAATGAATGTACTGCAGCCTCCACTGCAGCAAAAGGAGCAAAATCAGATTTAACATTCTCAAATAAAAGAAGGGTGTGGTTAGCCAGATTGCATATATGCATATTTAGAATTCGTTTATATTTGGGCCAAGGCCTCGGCCAAGGCGCAGGCAAATTAGCTCAATATGTGCTCCCCTATCCAGGCTATGACCTTTTTATACGCTTATCTCTTTACCTTTGTCCTTCAGTCGACTCATTGTGCTAGTAAGTATCAATACTACTACTACACTAACAGTTTAGATTTTTTATTATCATAGATATAACGCTTCAGCCAGTGTCAATTAATACAACACTCAACTCTACTGTTGTCTTCTCTTGTGAAGCTGTGGCTAATGATCTTAGTTTCAGAGTTAATAATACACCAGCTACAGATACAAATGTTACAGATAAAGGATTCAGTGTAACAACAAGCAGTAATGGTGGTACTATAAGAGCAGAGCTACAAGCATTGGCTTATGATCATAATAATAATACTGAAGTGAGATGTAGAGCTATTACTGATGAACCTCTTCAGGTGGAGTTCAGTGATACAGCAATATTAATGATACAAGGTTAGTGTGTGTCTGGTATGGGTATGATGCATATTTTTCATCATTCACTTCTTTAGGTCTATTGGATAGTGTTGTTGATCTGGATTATACCTTTATTAATGGATCCAGTGTATTATTAACATGGACAGCTCCTTATACACTGGATAATGTACCTATCACTGGATACTATATAGTCAATGGATTAGTGAACATTACTACTACTAACAAGAGTATTATATTATCAGCTACTAATCCTGATCCTTGTATATTAAATAATGTATCAGTTTCTCCTATTAATGATGTTGGAATAGGTTCATCTAATAATATCAGTTTTTATTATGAAACAGGTTAGTCCTACTATGGCTTCATGTATATGTTCACAGTACCTTAATGTAAATTTTAATGAGGTTATAATTTTTATCTTCACCATGAAAGTAATGTACATAGTGATCTTGTAGTAGTACTGGTACATTGTTCTTATGAAAGCTGTTGAATAAAAAAGGAATTCGTTGTGATTGTTCATGACTTACTATTGTTTGTCTATGAACAGTTGACCTTATACCTTGCATTCCTTAGTACAATAAACTAGGTGTGTATATATTCCATGTACCGTATAGCTAGAAATTTTGGAGTGTTAAAATTTGGCGAATTGACTTTAAAAGAGGTTTGGAGGTTAAAATTTTGGCGAAATTTTAACCCTGTGCATGCTTCTGCGGAACTTTATCAAATTGGAGACTAAAAATTTGGCAAATGGACCTCAATTTTCCAATTCGGTAAGATTTTACTCCACCAAATTTTTTAGCTATATGGTATGTTCTGTGTGTAAATGTACATGTAGCTGCTTCTTAAATAAACATTTTTTGGAAAATATTCCAGGCACTTGCCCAAGTTGTTGGCTATGGTGTAATGAAGCATTAGTTTTATTACTATCTTATAGATCAGGTTGATAGAGTAATTTGTAGTGTTAATTGTATGTTTTACTCACATGACCAATGGTGTGCATATTGCCTATTCATTATCTTTATCTTTCAGTTCCTCTCATTACTCCTCCTGTATCAGTGGTACCAGTAATTGATGGACAACTAATATCATTGAATATCAGTATTAATGTAAGTATATTCACCATAAGCAATGAGCAGTTATGAATACAGGTTTTGCATAACTTCAGTTTCACTTTATTCCCTGAACACCACTCATAGGTCAGTACTCAATGTAGAGGAGAGTATCCTAATAGTATAACAGTTAATATACTGAATACTGATGATGCAGTAATAAAGAATACCAGTATACCAACACAAGTTAATGATCAACTGATGATTACTGGAGTAATAACTGTACCTAATAATTTAAATACATTTATTGTTAATGTATCACTGAGTAATAATGGAGGAGAATATCTACCTACACCTTCTTTTGGATTTGGTAAGAAACTATAATTTATTCTTTAATTTAGTCTTACACTACTATTAGGTTTTCTTGGACCAGTTACTAACATTGACTCTTCAATTGACAACTGTTCTACTATTGATATAACATGGACTGCTCCTACAGTTGATGATAGAGTATCTATACTGTACTATAATCTCAGTATATATGATGACATAACTGATCAGTTCTTGAGAAATGAAGCAGTATATGATACCAGTTATCAGTTTAAAGATGAGGAATTATTTCGACATCGTTATACATATGTTATAACTGGAGTTAATGAATTAGGAGAAGGAATATCTAATAATGATACATTCTCATATCAAAGAGGTACAATAAGTAAAGG